ATTTCAGATTGAAGGAAATATTCAGAGTGCATAAAACAGTACATTGAGGTTTCAATGTACTGTTAACATAACGAAATGCGCTACAGTATATTGACTTACATTATTGACACTAAAGTAAAGTTTTTACTAACTTTCCGGACCAGCAGTAAGCTTTGCAATCTAACAGCGCCACATAACTGCCAAGGACGTACCGCTCCTTCATACTGGCTTCAATCATCACGTGTTTTAAGTTTCTTGAAAGATTGACATTTAATGCTTTTATTGTGGAAAAAAGACCTTCATTTATTGCTAATCTGATTTAAGACATGTATTTTTGCTTATTTATGTATGGAATACCGTTTTGATCTAGAGAGTTAAGAAGCCTGAGTAACAACCATAAGTGTGCTCCTTACCAGATGATGCGAGCTCGCAGTTTATTTTCAAACTGAACCTCCTTGCCTAACCATCATAAAACAATTTTACAAGTAAATTACTTAATTTAATTTATAGCTCAGTAGAACAAGGCGCAAGTCAGAAAGTCAATTTCCACTTGATAACTTTCGGGCGTCGAGTGGAGTCACAAAAATACTTGAGTCCTCCTCACATGAGAGGTTTTCTATTTTCTCGAATTCGAATCATTTTAATTTAGAGTAAAGAACAAATAATTATACAGAATTGTCTGTTGCAGCTTTTAACGTGAAGCACAACAAAATTGGATGCTAACAAGCAAGAATAGGTAGGATATTCAAACTAAGTCAATGGTGTAGATTTAATTGAAACACTTTAAAATGATATGACTGGTTTATATTTTACACAAATAAATTTTCGTCTATTCCAACACATCAGATATCACATCGACGCTAATTTCAGGGCTGATTAAAATGGATCCAGTTCTTCTTTATGTTGACCCTAATAATTAAATGATATTTTTGATGTGTTCAGTGATGAATCGTGTCATTTTCTTCAAATGAGTGACGTGAACTGGGGAAAGAAAATAGATGTGTCTACTCATGGTGATTAAGCTTAGAAAAACGTTAAATATCGCTCTAATCGTTCAGAAGTTTTTTATTTTATTTTATTCAGAACCTAAACATTTTTAAATTTCAGACGTCTTTCTCTCACTCTGTGAAACTCTGGATTGCATTACAGCTTGCTTGGGAAGTTTTGAATATGTCGGTGGCGAATATTTTTATTTTTGTTATCCATTATTGGAGCGATATTATAAATCGGTAAAATCCCAAATAATGTGAGTGTTTATCATGAATTACGACAAATTTTGCAGATAAATACAACTATTTTTCCGTTGCGATATCGAAATTAATAACCATGTCTTCGAACGATCTGCGAAAAAAGTTCATATTTATTAATTTCTATGAATGATTTATACAAAATGGTGCGATCCATCATTACATTCCAGACATTTTAAGATCTTGGCGACACATTTAATTTTGTAACTCCCAGCCAGGAGTTAATTTACCAGTAAGGAAATTGAGCGATAGAATGCTGTCTGTTACCGCAGCCCTGGAGAAAAACTTTGACAGATTGAACTGGCTTGCGGAGTGGGGAGGAGAGGCAGGATGTTTATCTTGAGCCAGGGAGCATTTCTTGTCGTTGTATAGTGTACTTTGACCTCCTGTAATTCAGCATCAGCTAACGATCTTTACAAGTTCACGTTGACAATGTGTTAACTTTTCCTAACTTATTAAAACCCAAGGTAATAAGTAAACAAATGACTAAACTGATCCGACGTGCCCAGCGGTGGTGGATGCAGAATTTGTGAAGCTGTTGTTTGTTGCACGAGTTCGCACGCGCCTCAGCGAAAAGTTGGATGGAAAAATAACATTTTATGGGATCCAAATTTGCTGGCCCGGGATTCAGTGTAAATTAAGAATAATTTAGTGGAAATATTTCATGTTCCTATGCACGTTGCAGACGATCACGAATCTATTAATGCGATCGATAAATTAACTTTTCGGACAACCAAATGTGCTGGTTCATGATTAGCGAATCTTGCAAATTATTTCTAAGTAAATACTAAACATTTTTTATGAAAAATTTCCAGTTTTCCCGACATTTCAGATGAAATGTCACTATTTACTTTTCATGACAATGACCGGGCCGACCAGTCCGGGTGAATATTTTAGTGATTTGGTACGGAGGATACGGGCCGGTCCGCGGGACTCCCGGACGCGTGACGCGGTGTTGGTGCTCCGTGGCCCGTGCCCGTGGTTGAGGCGTGAGGTGGTCAGGGTAGCGGACTCCACGTCCTAAAATAATCGATAAAAACTTGTTAGTACAGCGTCAAAAATACCAGAGAAGAATATAATTAATAAGTATATATAATACTATATAATAAGTACATAATTATGATATTACAGGCAGGGTGGCACTCTGGCTAGGTAATATATTCTCGCGTTTATATAACAAAATGGATGGGAAGCCTGCCATGTTACACCGCCTGCATGGGCATCTCCGTGACGCCATCCTCGAACAGCTGCACTAGACGTTCATCCGAACTGAACCATTATTGCTATAAATATGTTCCGAAATAAAAAAAATTAAAATTTTCAAATTGAGACATGAATATAATAGTGCATTATAATGGGGCTTGATAATGCAATATAATAGTGCAATATAATGGGCCATAATAATGCAAAATAATAGTGCAATATAATGAGTCATAATAATGTAATGTATTATTATAATATTAAGAAAAGAACAAGCAGCTGTAAGAATGTACGAGGCTGTACGATCATTATAAGTTAACATAAGTTATGTACAATTAAATTCACACAAAATTTTTCAGCACCAAATATTTCAAGCTTATAAAATTTGTTATGTTTTGCTTTTACTTACGATTTTTATCTTATAGCAGCGTAAACTACCTTGTTTTCTTGGAATATATTTCTAAACTTTGAATATTGTACACCACGAGGCATGAGCCTTGTTTGCTTTATATCTTTACGGCATTTCTCCTTGTTTCTGATCAGCAATAACGTCTATAATGGCGTAAGTTATCTCATGACGGCCTTGTATGTTGTGTTCATGGAGGGGGCGACGTTAATACAATATCCTCGCGAGGGGCGACGTGAAGAAATGGTTACGCCTGCTTGTGCGTTCCATTAGAACTATTTCTCGACGGTGCCATCGCAGGAATTTTCATTTTATTTCAGTCGGTGATGCAAATGCTGGAAGGAAAACAAAATTTTCTATGACTATCAAAAAAAGAAACTTTTTGAGGGGAGACAATGTTGTTTCTATTGACCTGCTGGCGTCCGGCGTGGCAGCAGGTTCTGTAATGAAAGAAATTAATATAGGATAAAAGAAGCAACGAATTAACGGCGATAAGATATAATAATATTTGGTAAGGCAAGCGGGTCCTGAAATGGTCTTGTATTTAAGCCAGGCTTTGCTGGGGTGAGTGGTGGTGGGGTGAGTGGTGGTGGGGTGAGTGGATAGTAACTAATTCAAACTATCGCCAATCTTGAAAAGATCCGGTCAAATGACATTTTTTTTGTCTCCTGTTAACAAGTCACGAAAAGTACAAGAACCGGCGACAGGCCACATCAGGCCTACTCTTAAGTGCCGTCATCACTATGTTATGTTATAATAAGTGAAATGGATTAAAAAAGAAGTAATTAAAGACTGGAAAATTTGTTCGATAACGTATCTACAGCTTTCCTATCGCCTATTCCTCGTATTGAGGGTACCATCATGCGCCCCATGACCGTGACTCATTGTTAATTTTGTTATGCAATTCAACGCAAATAATATCCTATAAATACCACTTTTATTACAGAAATATTTGTGAAGAATGGTAAAAAATGTTCATTTCATATAAATTTGAAAGAGCTTCCCGCTAAAACTAAAGTACGCACTTGCATACGATTAATTTGCTGCATTCGACGCGCATTTTCTGCACTACAAAATGTGCTCAAAAATTGGAAAAGCCAAACTTTTTAATTTGAGGCGAGACCCCTCCATAAAAAGAAGTAAAATACTAAATAAACTTACAATCGACTCCCCTAGAAAAGGAATTTGCTTGACATTTTCCCAGCTTTTAAATTATCGGTTTTGTGCTTTAGGCAAGTACATTGATATGACCGTTAATGAACAAGTTATTTTTTAGATGACATTAACTCGCTCAGCGACTTAGTAACGATTTTTTATGAAGGCATAAAAATACACTTTTATCTTTAATACGCGAGGAGTTGATTTGCAAGAAGAATATAATTGGCGGTGACATTAAAAGCTTAAACCATCGATGAACTTACGAACATCGTAGAACTTAGGGCCACTGTAAGATGTAATATGAACATAATGAATATATAAAGTGAACGAATAAGCAAGCGTGATGAGCCGATTTAAAAACTGCAGCTGAGAAAGTTAAATATCATATTTTAATATAACTTGAATTAAGTTACTTTTATTAATTAATTGGTTTCGTAAATTTTTTCCAGAGATTCGATTTATTGTTCACCATTTCAAAAGTGCATCCGAAAGGTGCACTCTGGAACTCGTGTTCACTATTATTAGTTCACTAGTATTTAACTAAAGCGTTCACTATTATTTAACTTATTCACTAGTTAAATTCGCGCTCACTATTAATTTGCACTTATCCCTACACGGCAGACACTAGCAACTTATAAAATCCATGGTTCAAAGATTTTAAGAGAAACATGGTAGACTGGCAGTTGCAAGATTTCAAAACAACGTTTAAATAATGTTGACTCAACGAAACAACGTTTTATTAACGTTGATTAAACTGAACAACGTTTAAGTAACGATGATTAAACCAAACAACGTCTAAGTAAAGTTGATTCAACGAAACAACGTCACACCAACGTTGATTCAGCAAAACGTCTAATTAACGTTGATTCAACCAAACGTTTCAATAACGTTGATTCAGTGAAACAACGTTTAATTAACGTCGACTAAACATGAAATGTCTGGTCTTATGGCTCTTTCATAACTCAGCTAACAACACTCATCTTTTTTTACCGAGCCAGGCTTAGCTTCGTTCCAGGGCTCGGAAGCGAGAATTATTGTCACGGGTCCGCACTCGACCCACTGTGCAGCTTTTTCTGTTTCCGATGCGTATTTCAGCACATATCCATGTGCTTATGAGCTGCCTTCTGCATGCATCATTCCTCATCAGCGTCGTTTAAATGGTGAGTGATAACGTCTATATTTGTTATATATAACGGGCTAAACAGATACAGTAAGTTTTCTCAGTGAAAACGATTGGTTAGGATTGGTTTAGGCCTATATGAAATCGGCATATCAAGTTAGTGATCCTGGACCATACAACTTCTAATTGCGCATCACATATGCCGCATATATGAATTATGCAGGCTAAATTATAAAAAGAATCTAGTAATACGAGGAGTGATACTTAAAATGGCCTCAAGCTCTCGACAGCGGCGTCCGGCGCTCGTTTGTTCCCTCACTTCTCTTAGTTCTTTCAATTCCCGCAGTTGTCGCGGCTTCCTCAATTTCTATTTGTTCCCTTTGTTCAATTAATTTTCTTAGCTCTCTCAATTATCGCAGTTCCCTTACTTCCCTCAGTTCCTTTAGTTCCCTCACTTCCTTTAGTTCCCTCACTTTCCTCAGCCACCGAGACGGAGACCAGCGAAGTGGAGCTGCGTGTCTCCTCCAGCGGGCGCACTCAGGCCTGGATGAATGTCCCTGCAACAGAATTTCTGGAACTCACTCTAACCTGCGACTTCTACAAGAAAAGCAGCGGGGAGAAGATCTCAAGTAAAGATATGGGGATCTTCTGGAAGAAGGTGAGCAAGCAGATTTAGGAAAATTCATAAGTAGTGTTTGTGTTGCATAATTTTCTATTGTAGTGTTTGGTAGGAATTCATTGGGTTTATAACGCGAGATCCAGCTCAGCATTTGTTGCCTAGTGTTTTTTGGTTGAGCCTATCAGAAAGTTGTGTGTGATCAGGAAGTCATTGCTTTGAAGATTTCGCTAATGTGTTTTTCCCGGTCATGTTTTCTCCAGCCCAGAAAAAAAATCAGAAATATAGCGTACGAAATGGTGTTTTTCTCACTAAAATTCATCAATTCATCGTAATCAGGCTTAAAACGCGATTAAGTAAGGCTACCACACAAATATAAATCTAAATTTCTGCTATCTTAAAATGTGCATTGTGCAATCAACAAAAATATTATACACCGTTTTATCTCTCTAGGATGGCGTGTACCTAGGGATTACATCGAGAACCATCCAGCCGTCGTCTTTGAAAGTCACCACCCAGCACCGACTTCTGCCCGCAAACCAAACACATAAGGACATGATGCCACTCCGACAAGGGACGTACTCGTGTGAGACGTGGAGTCGTCTCGGCACAGACACCAGCAAAAGCAATGAAATCTTACTCACGCTCAGTGAATGGGATACATTCATCTTGACTGTCGTCACTAATGATTCAACTGCAGACCCAGTGAGACGGCTCAACAACTCTCGGCACATATATGAATCAGAATCTCATGCTCTAAATCGTTCGCTGTATGATCTCATCGGAATTGAGCGCCTTTCCTCATCTAGATCTTTACGCATGTCCTACAAATTTCACCTCTACTACATTAAATCTGGCGATGATGATCATGTATTGGGTGGCATAATGACACGGTTGAATAATAGGCTAAGGAAACATTTTCTAGTTGGATCGTCCTTAAAACTAGCCACAACATGTACACCCTTTGGCAATATCAATACCTGGCCGTCGTCACAAGCAGGAGCGGTCCATCCAGAAAGAATGCAGTGCCAGTCAGGGGAAGGATGGCCCACTCCATGGAAATGTGTTCCAGACTTCAACCAAGGAGCTCGGTTAACTCTCAACCATTGTGATCCTTGCCCAAGAGGATATACTAACGTCATGAGTGATCTCTGTGTGGCGGTCGTGGAATCGGCTTCATGGTCTCGAGCATTTGGAAAAGCGTATGTTACAGGCAAAGAGCATGACATCGTTGGCGCCGAGTTCGAGATCACTAATAAATCAGAGTTTTATGACTCAATAAAAAAGATATTGCACGACAATACGGGTCAAACTTCTTCCTGGGTGTCATTGAAAAGAATGAACAAATTCGGTCCGTTGGTTTCAATGCAGCCAACAAGATTTGGTGAAGACCACATAACAAATTTGTCATGGGCTCCAGGGCATCCAATACTTCGAAAGGAATGTACGGGTGTGGATGTGGTTTCTAAGAAGTTTTTTAGCCATTCGTGTAGCGAGTCTCTTCCGTACCTAACTGTGGTGAATATTAAAGAACTCATAGATGGTCTCGCATCACAGCGTACCGCAGAAGAACTAGGATTAGTTACTAGGTCTTCTCGATGCAATAGACTCCATGGACACGCTTTCGCTTCAGCATACGACACGGATGATTTTACGTGCATAATTAAATTGAACGTAACACCGTCTAGTTACGAAGATGCTCAAATGAAATGTAAAACAATTGGAGCACTACCCCAACCTGCAATTGGATTCATGAACTGGATCTACAAAAAACTCCAAATTGACTATAACATTCAGTTTCTGTACGTGTTATATGAAGATTCGACTTATAGGGACGACGGCCTTAATCTCAGCAGCAGTTTTAACGGCGCTCCTGGACTCTTATGTGAAACGAGAGAGCTGATGAAACAGAGGCAACAACTCACACTTTCTTTATCCAGAGAAGACCGTCCCGTGGTAACGTTTGCCAACATACGCGATCTTAAGAATGGTTCATTAAGGTGCTACGCAAATGGATTCCGGACACCTGTTAACTTTTCAGCCGAGCAAGGGGTTGCTACTATTCAAGTCTCCAAATTTGCTGAGTACGGCTATTTCAACTGTTATGTTTTGACCGAAAACCCTACAAGGTTGATAAAATCCAACACTATCCTTAAGCCATACCCGCGCAACGAGTCTGCATTTGCAGTAGTAGTAAACATTTTAGTTCCTTATGAAGCAGTCAAAGACGACAACACTTTCGTCGTCGAGCCGCGCCACGATAGCTGTCTGGCCCAGATTTTGAGACAGGATTTGAAGCTGAACATGTCTATTAGCCAAAAATTTTTTGGCCCCGGTGAATTCAGTGCCGAAAATTTTGAACACGTGCATCTCATTATTGGAAATTCATCGCAACACTTCATGAAGGATCACTCGGATTTATTTAAACTTCTTCTAAAAATTACAAATGGACATCAAAACTGCAGTGTTGTGGAAGTCCGTCCAACAACAGGATGTCCCAAACATGTATATTTAGAATCCATTTCTGGACAAAATTTGAGTTTCAAGGAAACCATGAACTCGGGTGAGTTCATTCCCGTAGAAATTTGTGTCGACAAGAGAGGTGGTCCGGTCACTCGAACTTGCCTTGGAGACTTCATAGAAGGCTATTTCTGGAGTGATGATTTGTCTGGAGACTGTACAGGATCACCTTCAACGATAACCAGACAACTTAACGACATAAGGAATAACATTACGCCGTACACAATCGCCAACTTGTCAGATTTAACTAGAAACTCTTCTGAAATTCAGCCCGTAGATGTATATCTAATTACCCTAGCGCTACAGCGCGTCGCTCACCACCGCCCCCAAAACTCAAGCTATCCAGAAGAACTCGGTCTAGAAGACTTAGTGTCAACCGTGAATAATGTCTTAACTGCTCCTTTAAAAATTTTCCAAGGCTTACATGAAACTTTAAACGCAACTAATATTTTGTTGGAGTCGTTAGAAGAACTGACGTTTAGAGCCCTTGGTGATAATGTAGGGGATTATAAGTTTGCAGAGTCAATTGGGCCGTCGGTTTCAGCGGCAAGTTTTGCACTGTTCCACAACTCGTCCATAATTGGATACATGAAAGGAGACGGCAATAAAAGTGAAACTGGTGTTCTTAGATCAAGTTCCAATACGAGTACAGATTATGGAGTAGAGGTAAAAATTATTTTGCCTGACAACCTTACGAGTCGGGTCGTGAACGAGCTCGGAACTGACAGCGTTCAACTGGCATTTCTAGTTTATCGAGACGACAAACTTTTTGTAGAGGAAAAATATCCGGATTTCAATTACACAATCAATAGCTACGTGATGCAGGCCTCGTTTAAGAACCATCCCGTGATTAACCTGGAGCATCCGGTGGAGATTTCATTCAAACCACTTTATGGAAGGAAAGATACGGTCTGCGTGTTTTGGGATTTTGAAAAAAATGAGAGGAAGGGAGGTTGGTCGCAGGATGGATGTATCAAGTCAAACGAAAGTGGAAGCCTCATTACCTGTTCATGCAATCACCTTACTAGCTTTGCGCTTCTTATAAACTATGAAAACAAAACGCCTAACGAAAAACATGCCATAATATTGTCATATATCACAACAGTCGGTGTAAAGTTCTCCATTTTTGGATTGCTAATGGTTTTTCTGACCTTCATTTTGTTCCAGGAATGGCGCAAAAAATTGACGAACAAAATCCTTATAAATTTGGCGACTGCAGTGTTTTTTAGCATGGTGATATTTCTAGCAGGCATCAATCAAACCCAAGACTTGACACTTTGCCGATTCGTGGCCGTGTCTCTGCATTATTTCATTCTCGCCTCGTTTGGATGGATGCTAGTTGAAGGAATCCACCATTACCTTGTTTTCGTGAAAGTCTTCGATACGTACATACCGAAATTTATTTGGAAAGCTTCCATTTGTGCTTGGGGTCTCCCCTTTATCCCCATCCTGGGGTTGCTTGTTTACGACAGCGCTCTGTACGACAGTCGTGACCAGTACAGCACAGGGACTCTCATCTGTTGGATATCCCCATTGGGGTTCAGGTATGCCTTCCTTCCTCCCCTCGTGCTTATCCTTGCCATTAATCTGGTACTCTACATCAGAATAATCAACGGAACTGCGTGCAAGAGACCCAAATTACAATCGAACAAATCTGACACAAATCTCAAGCTCAACCAGCTGAGTATGGCCATAACGGTCTTCTTCTTATTGGGATTCACATGGATATTCGGCCTCCTGACCATAACTGGTAAAGGAGAAGTTTTCGCATACTTTTTCACGATCTTCAACACTCTGCAAGGATTCTTCATCTTCGTGTTCCACGTCTGCCAAATCGGTTCAGTTCGACGTCAATGGTCGACTTACTTCGATGTTGTGACTTGTGACATTCCATTCCCCTTTCACATCTTCGATCGCTGCCATCGTCAGTTCCTCCTCCCCATCGCCGACCGCCGACATCGTCAGTTTCACCTCCCCATCGCCGACCGCCGACATCGTCAGTTCCCCCTTTACATCTTCGTCAGCAGACACCCTGTCACACTCGCCGCTAGCTGAAGTAGCACTTTGAGGAGGAGGAATTTAACAAATGTAACAGCATTGAGAACTCCTGAGCACCAGCCTTTTACTTTCGGTGACCAGGTCTCACAATGCGAACTACAAAGAAAACGGTTTACGAATAAGAAAACAAAAGGTTAAGGAGAGAAGCTGATGGAAGACAACGAGTCCAGCATTCTTGAATACGAACTTGCAGTGAAACTACTTCGTTAGATCCAGAATTATACAAAGAAGATGAGACGCTTAAGACATGCCTGATAACCTCTGCGGTTTGTTCACTTACTATAAAGCCGATTTCGAAAAACCTTCCCACGTAAACTCATCTTGAGTTTTGATTAAAATAAGTGCGAGAGTTTTAGGAGACATCTTCTGTTATTATTTAGCTTAAAGGCATTCAATGAGCAACGTTCAACTCGTAATAATATGATATTATAAAAACTTTTAACCTTAATGCTTGTCAAAATTTAGCAAACTAAAAGACTTCCTATGTTTAATGGGATCTCCTACCTCCTCTTTATGAACTTCAATCTGAATATATTGCGCTTTTTAAATGATTTTTTTTCTTGTGTTGCATTAGGCGGTTTTATTATTTCAACCTGCCATAACCTCTCACGAACGCTGGAGAGGCTGGAAGGTAAATGAGGTGTGTCAGTTGCCTAGGAAAAGGATGACTTAGCTTCTAAGTAAGGTAGAAAAGGAGGTCTGTACACTAGGAGAATTAAGTCAGATCTTTTCTAGGCATATCAAACAGCAATTGTCTTACGAGAGGATCGATGTGAAATAAATCGAAAGCCATCAATGTGCGAATATTCAATAAATTTTAATCTAAATTCTGTTACTTGAATAATTGTCTATTAGTTAGACGAATAATCTTTTGAAAGAATAGATTGAGCGCCTTTCCTCATCGATTCAATTAATAAAAGTAAGGTGATGAAATTGAATCAAATAAAACTAAGATTGTTTCTCCACGCCCCAATGCGTGTTTGATATTAAATATTATCAATATATTTTATGTTAATGACTGTATGGAATGAATTATTGTGCTATTATTATTAGTATTTGCCACTAATTATTGGATTAATATTTGTGTGTTCTACACATTCATTGAGCTATTATTATTTTGAAAGTAGACTTTTAATGAGTCAGTCTTCATATGATCCTCGGGTTTGGTTGAGATCCAATTTCATTTGCGGTGGAAATCAGTTAATTAAGGTTAATTTAATCAGAAACGATCGAATCCACTTGGCAAAAACTGATAAAGCCGCTGCACAGATGAAGAATAAACAAGTATATCGGGTTTGTGCTCAGTCTATNTCTTATACACATCTAGATGTGTATAAGAGACAGTGCTAACGCTGCTTCCTTCGAGCCGGCTTCAGCGGGCTGGACAATTGAGACCTTCCGCCCCTTGTGGGTGATGATTAACTTGAGATTTTGAATAATTGAGACCTTCTGCCTTGCTGGCGATGATATCTTTTGACCTCCGGCGCGAAATAGTTTGATAGCTGAAGCGCTAGCAAACCATTATGCTACTATTCATCTAAAAATTTCGTGCAACTTCCAGCACAATACTGACTGAAATTGAGCATTTGCTCTCAAATTTATGACAGACAAAACTTGAACAATTCGGCATTATATTCTTCTTGCCTACTAAGTAAGGTTTAAAATATTGAATATTAACTAAGTGACTTGGACACCGAGACGCAGCTTCAAATAAAATATATGACCTAATAATGAACATATTATTCCTGGACATACACATGCGGCGGTTATATATAAAAAATTATTTACAAAAATTTTATAGATTAAAAATATTAGTGCTTACAGAGATGCTTTAAAAAAAACATAGGTACAACTTTAAATAGAAGAAAGGCCAAATAATAGGCATATTAAGGCATATTAATTCTAGACACTGAAATTAGGTTAAAGATACACAAAGCTTTAAATGAAATACAAGGCCTAATAATAAGCAGGTTAGTCATAGACATGGAACTGTGGCTTCAAGTAAAAAAACAACGCTTAATTATAAAGTCTTAGATATTGAGAAACAGTTAGTAAATGAAGGGCTTTATATAATAAACCAAGGCTCAATAATAATAGGTAATATTACATCATCTAATGTTTTCTTGAAAAAATATTTTTTGAGTATGTAAATAACCTTCCCACACAATTATTGCATTATTATCTGCTCGAGAATATTAGAAATTACTATGTAGCAATTTGAATATCTAAAAAAATTAAACTAGATCAATATACTTGGAGATTCCTCTAATAAATTTACAGGTTCAATTGTATTCAAGTCAGCAATTGGAAAATGTGACAACAGAGCAACATTCATAGGTAAGAGATAATTTATTTTGCAATTGCTGAACATAATCTCATATTTTTTGAAGAAGCCTGCTACAAGTACATGAATCTTACAAGAGAAAACATAAACATATAAAATTAAAGAAGGTTGCGCTATAGAAGAAATTGTATAAGTTGAAATTTACAGTGACCCTGTCACCCACATGAAGAAAAAGTAGGATCTACTGTTAAACAAGGTGACTTAGACCAAAGGTGACTTAGACCATTGATGAGGTGACTAAGACCAAAGGTGACTTGGACCATTGATGAGGTGACTTAGACTTTTATTAAGTGAAAAATGTCACAGCTTTTGATAGGAGTAAATGTTTTATCCTCTAAAAAATAATGTATTTTTGTCTATTTTATTTGTTTTTAAAAGCGAGAGGTTGTGCTGGGACATTAGAGCGTAAAAGTGAAGCGTGAAGAAAAGAANCTAGATGTGTATAAGAGACAGGCCCTACACTGTGCCTCACATGAGTATCCTGATACTATGCAAAGGTCCAGCCTGGGCGGGACAGCCTGGAGCTTTCTTACTGCCAATGCAGCAACAAAATAAGAATTACTTTATTAATCAATAAGTGTCAAACAAGGAACTCCTGTGGGCAGGGTTGTGAAGGAATTAGGGGGTCGTGATACTATGAAAGGTTGGAATCAGCAGCATTCCTTACATGAGGCAGACAGACAGAACAAAAATACCTAGGAAAACTGCTGAGAATGCTGCTGGTTTCCAGGGACTGCAAAAATGGCAGTCTGAGGGGGAGATATGAATTGATCTAGGTTAGTTCCAACATATGTTAGTGTTAATTTGTCTATGGTAGTAACTACGTTTACCATAATGTTAACAGATGAGTGGCTGTCTCTTATACACATCTAGATGTGTATAAGAGACAGGAACTGTAACCACTGGGCCACCCTGCCCAGTGGCCCAGTGTACTTTCCAACCATTTTTATTTTCATTAGTTATAAACGTGATCCTATTCCGGCTCCTTTTCTATTGTTTACAAATATTTTTCATAGAAACTTAGACGCATAAAATAACCTCTGAATGATACTGTGAAAAATCTCCATCCCAAACTTTTTTTCATTAGTTATAAACGTAATACTATTCCGGCTCCTTTTCTATTGCTGTCTCTTATACACATCTAGATGTGTATAAGAGACAGGTTAAGCACGGCAGAATTGTAGCAGTGAGTTGCGAGTTCGAGACCGCAACAAGCTGTGAATGTTCTGCTATGTTAAGAATCGGCGACAGGCCTCTGGCCTAATAAACACTGAAACCGCTATTATTATTATTATTAATATATGCGACTACTGCGGCTGACAGTAGTAAGAACAGCTGCATAGGTGTTATGCTGACTATTTCTACTGCATGTAGAGGGTTGGCATTGGCTCTTGGGCTGATTTAAGAGTCAAATTTTTGGGCTACGGCAGCGCTCCCCTAAAATATATGATAGGGGTTCTTCCTAATTAAATTTTCCTAATTAATTAACCTACAAATATACTAGTATATATTGAGTAATCGGCCTTTTTGGCTTTTTTTTGTTCTCAGCATTGGCCGTTTTTTAGGCCATCTGGCAACCCTGGAACTTCTTTGTGACCGTCTGAAGGCTGGATCATTTCCTGCAAAGTTATAATTAATGTTTGTGGATCGATCATTCGCCGTTCAACATTGAACAGTGAAATGATGGTGTTATTCAATTTAATTTTAAATGATGGTGCTTTAATTCAACGTTAACGTTCGTTCTCATATATCATTAAAATTTCACATAAATTATGCGTCGAATTTCACTTGTTGAATCTATATACAGGAGCCATCACTTAGAACCTGACTAGATTTGAATTAGTGATAATTTATTTAATTAAATTCAATCGTATACTCTATTGAAGCAGGCCTGTTGGGGGAAATACAAACCCTTATTTATATGAATCTGCAAATTACTTACTTATTTATAAATTACTTACTTTTTTGCAAATTACTTATTTATATGAATCTGCAAATTACTTAAATTCAGCAAGAGCAAGGGAACTACTGATTATATCATGACATTATAGATAAAAAATAACAATTGCGGTCAGACGAGTACATGTCAGCTTTCTTCCATTTTAGTTATTGTCGCGTCCTGGGTATATATGAGTACATGTAGTTTTCTTTTCCATCAGTAAATGCAAGTGTGCCAGGTATATATGAATACATGTCAGCTTTCTTCCATTTCAGTTAATGTCGCGTCCTGGGTATATATGAGTACATGTCAGCTTTCTTCCATTCCAGTTAATGTCGCATCCTGGTTATATGAGTACATGTCAGCTTTCCCTATTTCAGTTAATGTAGCGTCCTGGGTATATATGAGTACATGTCAGCTTTCTTCCATTCCAGTTAATGTCGCATCCTGGTTATATGAGTACATGTCAGCTTTCCCTATCTCAGTTAATGTAGCGTCCTGGGTATAGATGAGTACATGTCAGCTTTTTCATTTCAGCTAATGTAGCGTCCTGGTTATATATGAGTACATGTCAGCTTTCTTCCATTCCATTTAATGTCGCGTCCTGGGTATATATGAGTACATGTCAGCTTTCCCCATTTCAGTTAATGTAGCGTCCTGGGTATAGATGAGTACATGTCAGTTTTCCCCATTTCAGTTAATGTAGCGCGCTGGGTATAGATGAAGATGAGTACATGTCAGTTTTCCCCACTTCGGTTAATGTAGCGCACTGGGTATAGATGAAGATGAGTACAAGTCACCTTTCTTCCATTCCATTTATGTAGCGTACTGGGTATAGATGAAGATGAGTACATGTCAGTTTTCTCCCATTTCAGTTAATGTCGCTTCCTGGGTATATATGAGTACATGTCAGCTTTCTTCCATTCCATTTAATGTAGCGCACTGGGTATAGATGAAGATGAGTACATGTAAGCTTTCCCCATTTCAGTTAATGTAGCGTCCTGGGTATATATGAGTACATGTCAGCTTTCTTTCATTCCATTTAATGTCGCGTCCTGGGTATATATGAGTACATGTCAGTTTTCTTCTCTATCAGTAAATGCAAGTGTGCCCGGATACGAAGGCCGCGTGCTGAGTGTATCTGAGTACCTACAGCACCAACTGGATGGTCACAGCTCCCACATGTGGACCGCATTGACCGGACGCGGGGGACATTATCAGTGGTTCACGACCGTGCCGCGTGAGTCTAACTATGCTGTACTCGTCTTTATTTTACCTCATAATTGTGAAAAATAATCGTGTAATAATTTACAAATATATTGTCCACCGAAAATATTGTATCCACGAAATTGGAATATTGTCACGAAAATATTGTGTCCATTGCTGTGCATGCAATGCACGATAATTCTGTGCATTGTTCCATGCAAAATTATTGTTATGCATGACCGTGAGCTTACGCCATGTGTCATGAGCATTAGCTTGTGGTATGAGCATGAGCTTGTGGCATGACTATGAGCTTGTGGCATGACCATGAGCTTGTGGCATGACCATGAGCTTGTGGCATGACCATGAGCTTGTGGTATGAGCATGAGCTTGTGGCATGACCATGAGCTTGTGGTATGAGCATGAGCTTGTGGCATGACCATNGCCTAAATGCGTGTCAAAATTGGTGACGATCGACTGCGCAGTTCTCACAAAAAACTCATTTGAAGAAAATTAGATTTTAATTCGTTGTCGCCACAAAAACGACCTTGGATGGCCCAAAAAAGTTTATGGAATACCTGTAATCATGCCCAACATGTGTGCCAAGTTTGACGCCTGTGGCTTTAATCCCGGTACGGATTTTTGAATAGCTGCATATTTTTCAACGGATACATCGTGTTTAATAATGCTTATAGTTCTCATACGCGCGAAATTGTTCATCATCAGAGCTTTGCTTCAATGGACTGTCCGGTATTTAGATTTCTGTTATTTTTTTGTTTGTGTAAATTTTTTTCTATTAATTGTACTTATAATCTCCAAAATTTTGAGCTGGTCTCCGGAAAGTTCTCCGGAAAGTTTCCGATGTACATATTATATGGCGAATTTATTTGGCGATTTCTTTCCTGTTAAATTCTTCATCATCTCAAGTTGATATACGTTCAGATTTAGCTAAACACTTTTGTCAAATAAGTTTGAAAATGTTGTACTATATTCAGAAAGAAGATGCAATTCTCTTATGATGAATAATTCGTCAAGAATTGGTCATGAATTATGTTCTCTCAAATGTTATAACACAAAAAAAAATAAATTACTCCGTGTTTAAGCTAAACTTCTGAAAACCAAATACACGTGACAGATACTATGATCATAATATTTTACTTTATTTGAGAATGATATACCTGTTACTAATTAATATTTCGTTTAAATTCGATTAAATGTCGAATATGATATATATGTGTGTTCCAGATGACTGAGGTTACCCTTAAAATAATGAATTTTCTTTTGAAATTCTTACAATTTAGCGGGGACTTATTATAATAATTTAGTTGAGTTATTCGCAATTTCGTCCAAATTCGTTGTGTTGTTTTCGCTTAAAAAATGTTTTCAACTATATGAGCTCGAACATGAGACAAAAACAGTGTATTGTCATGAAAAGTAACACATTTCAGTGTAAGCATATGAAAACTCGATGAAATTTTTTTGGTAATCATTACTTTTGCGAAAAATATTTAGTGTGGCCCAATAAGCAAAGGAGATATTAAATTTTCACTGCTAATTTGTTCATTTGTATGAAACTAATGGTTTCTATGTACAAATCTTGAACCAGATTTATGTCTTTAAATCATGCAAAAAGCAAGTAGAATTTTTTTTTCTTTCACTACCTTGATTCCATGCCGAAATTTTTTAGTTTCCATGCTGATTCAATGTTGTGCTAACATACACTGATCAGTCAACAGAAGTATAACAACATCATCGAAAAACAACCCTGGTCTTCAATAAGTATAGAAGATTTTAAAATTTCATTCAATGCACTTAAACATATTTCGACATAAAATACTGAGACTTAAAAATGATAACTGATTACCATATATGAAGACGTAAGTTTAACTGCGAAAATAACTTTTTTTGGTAACCATTTAAAATATTTGACTGATAAATGCACCTATGTTACTTTGATATATTGAACCCATATAGTGATAGCCTGCCATTTTCATGCAAATGTTACCTGCTATTCGTATGGTAGCCTAAAAGTATCCTATAATAATAAATAATAGCTGTTTCAGCGTTATTAGGCCGTAGGCCTGTCGCCGATTCTTAACATCGCAGAAACATTCACAGCTTGTTGCGGTCTCGAACTCGCAACTCACTGCTACAATTCTGCTATGCTTAAACGCCCGGCCTCCTCGCCGATTCTGACCAGAAACTGGCGCACAGAGCTGGGATCGAACCCGCGCCTCTCTGCGCCAATCTTGGTACTCTGAACTTTAACCACTGGGCCACCCTGATTAATCTTATAATATAAAATCTCTAAAAAAATTGAGTTAGTCATGTTATCCAAATAGTGACAATCTTTTTGCTTGTAGCACTGAAACGCCTTAATTTTACCGGGCCTAAATGTGTCAGGATGACCCACACAATGGCTAAGATTACATCGCTGTTAGGACGAAGGCTTCCTCATTTTTATAGGATCGCACGTGTACGTGTAACTTTAGGCCAAGAAGCGTTGCCAATAAATCACTTATAGATTTAAAAGTCATAGGCTGAAAATTATGGTAATAGTGGTAGTAAAATCATTGATGAATAACGATGGTAAATGATGGTAAAAGTCGTAATTAATTCAAGCGATGATTATCGCGCGATGATAAATTAAGTTTGTTAGGTAATCGTATAGTAAATACTATAAATCAGTAGATTAAAAAATATAACTTAGTACTCACTGCAGTGAGTGACAGAGAGCGCATTTTCTCGTCGACGAAAACTTGAGGTCACGGACGGACGGACGGACAGACAGACAGACAGACTGACAAACGGACATGGCGAGCACAATAATGCATTTTTTCCATAAATGAGAAAATGCGCTAAAAAGGCATAAATTTAAAGTACGGAGTTAAAAATGACGACGAAAACAACGACATTATCCTGACGCAATTCTGACACCACAAGATATGAACAACAAGACGTTCGACGAGAAGTTTCTCCGTATAGATAATACCTGACGTTTGAAGTCCCGTTAATCTCGAATCCCGTTTCCTCTGAAGTGATTTTCTCAAAATAAACTCATAATAAATTAAGAGAGACTCGTTCAAACCAAAATTCAGCAAGGAACCTTTATGTGACTCCCGTTTTTCAATTTAATGGGAACCTGAATTTCTCATTTTTAAATAAAGTTCCTTAAAAAAATGAATTCTAAAAAATTTTTTAATCCAACAGCCGCCGCTCTTTGTTCGTTTAGATTTGTTCTCAAAATTTGTAATCTTTATTATTCTCATTTTCAAAAAGGTAATCAAAACATTATAAAGGTCATCAAAAGTGTAAGAAACCAACTTCCGGAAATTTTTATCGCAACTTCAAGTGACCAACTGTTGAAATTTTGCTCACAGAAGGTGTCAAGTGATTGTCTAAATTGAAGATCAAATAACAACAATTTAACTATACCTACTCAGCAACGGCCGGTCACGTTCTCTTTGGACATGCCGCTTACACTGGATGCCCAGCAAACACTGAATCATTCGCTCAATCTTATGATCCTCATTAGCAGTAAAACTGTCGAAAACGTTCGCGAACTGAACTGTCGTTCATTTTCCAATTCCCCTCGGAATCGGGGAATGTTTTCAATTCATACAAACTAGATTTTTTTTCGAAAGATCAAAAGTTATGATTGTATGACTAGATCACATATATGGGTATAGAATTTATGTTAGAGGTTTAGTCAGTTGTAAGGATCTTATCGATGACGTCATTAAAGTTGGTGGCAATTTCGATTTGACGTCTAGGAGCTCCAGTTGGATGCATATGAGCTGCGGTTCAATGTCAAGGAGAACCATATTGCACATCGAGAAGCTTCGGTTCGACATCGAAGAGCCCCATTGGACGTCGAAGAGCTCCGGTTTAACGTCGATGAGCCACATTGGGCGTCGAGGAGCTCCGGTTCGACGTCGAAGAGCCCCATTGGGCGTCGAGGAGCTCCGGTTCGACGTCGAAGAGCCCCATTAGACGTCGAGGAGCTCCGGTTCGACATCGAAGAGCCCCATTGGGCGTCGAGGAGCTCCGGTTCGACGTGGAAGAGCCCCATTGGACGTCGAGGAGCTCCGGTTCGACGTCGAAGAGCCCCATTGGGCGTCGAGGAGCTCCGGTTGGAGCAGCAGTTCTGCAAATCTTATCGCGCGCGGCGTCCTGCGAGGGAAAACTTGCCACAACGTGTCAGTGTTGAACAGCAAGTGACCACACCTACAGGTTGCTTAAAAAGTGTTGAGCGAACCTACCAGGCATCTGGCGTTGAAAATCATGTATAAAACGTTTCAACAAAATCAACCCGCAAACAACGTCGTTTCGACGTCAGTTGCCTGGAAGGAAGCAGTATAATTTTGTTTAAAGTCGCAAGAAGGTAGTGGACTAAATAGGTCTTATATTATACACAAGATTCAGCTAGGGTAAGGGTTAATTTATTAGCTGAGGATAAATGAAGGACAACTATCAGGACGGAACGTAAATCATTAAAGAAATTAGGAAGAGAATATTCTGAAGCTTTCAGTCACTGCTCATAACGATTTCAAAATGCACAAGTAGAAGTAATTTTTTTCATTTTGGAGCCAACTAAATCTTAATGTGCGTTCGACTGACAAAATAACACGGAATAATCGTGCCAAAATTAGACCACCGCTTATTTCAGTACATGAATAAAAAATCGTTAATTTTATTTTTCCTTGATGAAGGAAGGTAATGATGTTATTAATTTTCCCCCAGGTAAACGAGCCTTTTTGTCTTCAGCTTTCACTGGAGTGCGATGCAGTTCTGACACAAGCCCTCCAGTCTTCAGAAATAATCTATAAATTCTGGAATAATGTGCAAACAACTAAAAAATATTTAAACGTAATGCTATTTGAAAGAAAATTAATTATATTCATTTTCCTTAATTTTTGGAATATAGTCACTCCAGCACAACACGCGTGGGGGAACTACACACACTTTTTAAAACAACAAAATGGGAGGAACGAAGATCTGTATTTTATTGACACCCGTCATCCCGTGAATAATCTAATTGCAAACAATCTCAGCTCAAACATCAAGGAACAAAAATCAAAATCAAGCCTCAGAGCAGTAAACTTCACAGAAATTCAAAACGAACATTTGAGTGGAGATCCAAATGTGGACCCATCACCTTACAGTCTGAGGGCTAAGAACAGCGGTCGCGTGAAGAGGCAAACACCAGTCCTCGGTAATCCAGTAATTAGCGTGGGATCTTCATCCCCGGAGTGGGGAATTTCCTATAATAACGATTCGTCAGAACCTCCGCAAGGAAGCACAGGCTGGAGAAATTCAGATGATTACGAAACGTCAAAAAGCGGAAGCACAGGCTGGAGAAATTCAGATGATTACGAAACGTCAAAAAGCGGAAGTACAGGCAGGAGAAATTCAGATGATTACGATTCATCAGGAAGCGGAAGCATGGATTGGGAAAATTTCGATGATTATTGGGAAATCGATGATTATTATTCATCAGAACCTCCATTCGGAAGTACAGGCAGGAGAAATTCAGATGATTACGATTCATCAGAACCTCCACTCGGAAGCACAGGCGGGAGAAATTCAGGTGATTATGATTCATCAGAACCACAACTCGGAGGCTTGTCTTCACCAGAACCCATCGGGCCTCTACCGGACCACGCATCTGATAAGTTCTACGCGATCTGCAGCAAGCTCAGGAAGGCCGTTAGATTCGGGGCATCGGAGATACGGATCTGTGATGGCAGTGGGCATTACCGTCCATGCATTAAGTGGAATCATGAAAACAAGGTACGTGGTGATGAAATTTCTTGTATGTTATTCAAAGTTAGATCATTCGCTTGTCTAATTGAAAATGATGTCGAATTAATGAAAACCTTTCTTCCCTCCAAACCCAAAAATTAATTTTTAAGGCTAGTATTTTGTGCACTATATACGAACGAATTATCGCACGTTTTCGAAGGTCAAACGACTCGTCTTACATCGTTTATCATAAATTTTATAAGCTGTCTTGACGACAATTTTATATTCAACGAACTGCGAGCCTTGTCAGCAAACATGTTCAATCTCAAAATTCAATTATTCTTCCATTGGTTGGTACAATCAAAAATAAAAACAGCTTCCACAACGAAAAATTGTTCATCTATTACATCAAAAATAAAAACAGCTTCCACAACGAAAAATTGTTCATCTATTACATCTATATTTTCAATTTTCCCTATCGCCCAGACCTGGACGGACGCGCACAGACACTGTCGCCAACTGGACGGGTTTCTTCTGGACTACGACGTCCTGGACTCAGCGACGACAGGTGAGCTGGGGCCATACTTTCAAAATTCGCTAAGTGAACGTAAGGTACTTACGCTCTATTTTCTTGTCTATGATTGGTGGATTATGCTTGAAAGTCAGTCAATGATTGGCTGATGAACTTACGATCTCTTAACTTTTTTCTGAAAGTATAGGTCCTGATGATGAAGCCAAACTTCAGCGCCTAAATTCCAGAAAGATTAATTAAAATGAACAAAGAAATACCAAAATAATTTCTCATCTATCTATAAACTAAATGAATGAAACATTAACACAGTTAATAGAGAAGTACAAATTTTATGTTGATAAAATCCTCGAGTATTAAAACTTGTTTAACGTCTGAAGTGAGGAAAAAATTATTTATATATAAATTACCGTTGTAGATTTCATCACGATGGTGTAACTGCATGGGTGGCCATGCGTTCACATCGGTCATTAGATGTTTAGTCATTTATCGGTCAATAGATGTTTAGCAAAAGCATAAAAGATGAAGTGTTTTTAATGCACTTCACAGTTTTAAAATTTACTGAAGATATATTTTTGAAATATCGAATAAAAAATTCTCAAACAGCATGAAAATTCTAACTGATTGCCTCCAAAAAAGAACTGAGAAGTCAAACATTTTCTACCACACATTTAAATATTTGCTAACCATTTATGATGCATGGATACACATTAACCATATAGTACTGACGCAAAACTTCTGTGAAAATGTTATCTGTTATTTGTATAGTAGTATCATTACCATACAAATAACAGATTAATGTGATTAATATCATTAATGTGAAGAGGAAAAATATTTTCATTCAAATTTCAGATAAATTATGCATCGAATTTCAATTGTTGAATCTATATACCGAAGTCATCACTTAGAACCAGACTAGATTTGAATTTAGTGATAATTTATTTAATTAAATTCAATCGTATACTCTAACGAAGAAGGCCTGTGGGGGGAAATACAAACCCTTATTTATATGAACCTGCAAATTACTTTAACAAAATTCAGCACGAGCAAGGGAACTACTGATTATATCTTGACATTATAGATATAAAATAACAATTGCGGTCAGACATGAGTCCATGTCAGCTTTCTTCCATTTCATTTAATGTAGCGTCCTGGGTATATATGAGTACATGTCAGCTTAAATTTCTTCCATTTCAGTTAATGTCGCGTCCTGGGTATATATGAGTACATGTCAGCTTAAATTTCTTCCATTTCAGTTAATGTCGCGTCCTGGGTATATATGAGTACATGTCAGCTTTCTTCCATTTCAGTTAATGTCGCGTCCTGGGTATATATGAGTACATGTCAGCTTTCTTCCATTTCAGTTAATGCCGCGTCCTGGGTATATATGAGTACATGTCAGCTTTCTTCCATTTCAGTTAATGCCGCGTCCTGGGTATAGATGAAGATGATTACATGTCAGTTTTTCAGTTAATGTCGCGCACTGGGTATAGATGAAGATGAGTACATGTCAGTTTTCTTCCATTTCAGTTAATGTAGCGGCCTGGGTATAAATGAGTACATGTCAGTTTTCTTTTCTATCAGTAAATGCAAGTGTGCCCGGATACGAAGGCCGCGTGCTGAGTGTATCTGAGTACCTACAGCACCAACTGGATGGTCACAGCTCCCACATGTGGACCGCATTGACCCGACGCGGGGGACATTATCAGTGGTTCACAACCGTGCCGCGTGAGTCTAACTATGCTGTACCCGCCTATATTTTACCTCATAATTGTGAAAAATAATCGTGTAATAATTTACAAATTTGAGTCCACCGAAAATATTGTATCCACGAAATTGGAATATTGTCACGAAAATATTGTGTCCATTGCTGTGCATGAAATGCACAATAATTCTATGCATTGTTCCCTGCACAATTATTTTATGCATGACCGTGAGCTTCCGCCATGTGGCATGAGCATGAGCTTGTGGAATGACCATGAGCTTGTGGTATGTGCATGAGCTTGTGGCATGACCATGAGCTTGTGGCATGAGCATGAGCTTGTGGCATGACCATGAGCTTGTGGCATGACCATGAGCTTGTGGCATGACCATGAGCTTGTGGCATGATCATGAGCTTGTGGCATGACCATGAGCTTGTGGCATGACCGTAACTCGGATGGTCGGGTTTATCTTATTTTTCGGGATGTGCTTTCGGCGCATCCTGTCAAAATCTTAAGCATCTCTCTATGTACTTATACGTGCAACAATTCATAGTGAAGCCTTGTTTTTAACATACGAGTATATTGATATCATAGAAATAATAGGCTTATTTTAAGGGCTAAGAATTTCTGGATTCTGAATGTTCCAGCTTTGAATCAAAAGAGTGGGGCATCAGCCCGAACCTTGCTTAAGGTACAAAAAATTTCTCGTCTATAATTGGTGAGTTTTAATTGAAACGCCGTCAGTGATTGATTGGCACAAAGTCATAACTATTTTTGATAGCTAATGATACTATACCTTATTAGCATGCATTTCGTCCGTGCGAAAGGATTTACCACACAAACTATGAAAGGAAGTTAACTTTATAGATAGATTTTACTTAGAAATTGATGTTTTTCAATGAAAAGATTACCTTTGCATTTGAAGAGAGACACTCAGTCCTGTTCCTACTGAAAAGTAGCTTTGAGATTCCAGCCTCGGCAACAAACGACTTAAGACGAACCCATAAATTTTAAGCTGTATCTCGTCGTTTATTTAAAGCGTTTATCAAAAAAACTTCTAACAGACGGATCTTTCTGAACTTCGTACACAATATATAAATCGCTGTAAGAAAAACATTTTGCTGGTACGATTTTTTTATAGTTTTATAAATTTATTCCTTCGAAACTTTTATAAATTTATATTTTATATTTTTCCCTTCGAGAAACTTTTATAAATTTATCTCCTCTTCGGAATTACGAACGACAACATCGAGGACACATCTTTGATTCGTAAAGAGAATAGCGGCCAAATAGAAGCCCTTATTCGATTTATTTAAGACGACTTTTTACACTTTCCCCTCATTTTCTTCAGTTTTTATCATCTAAACAATATAATCAGCGAAAAGTGCTTTTAGAGTCCTTTTTAGGTCTCCTGTGAACAAGTCACGAAAAGTACAAGAACCGGCGACAGGCCACATCAGGCCTACTCTTAATTAATTAATTAAGTGCTGTCATCACTATGTTATGTTATTATAAGTGAAATGGATTAAAAAAGAAGTAAAGGCTGGAAAATTTGCTGGATAATGTATCTCCAGCTTTCCTATCGCATATTTCTCGTATTGAGGGTACCATCCTACGCACCACTACTCATTGTTATCCAATTTAACGCGAATAATATCCTATAAATACAATTTTTATTGCAGAAATATTTGTGAATAATGATAAAAAATGTTCATTTTATATAAATTTGCAATTGCTTCTTGCTAAAACTAAAGTACGCACTTGCACATGGTTAGTTTTATGCGTTTTACGCGCCTTTTCCCCAGCTACAAAATAGGCTAAAAAATCGGAAAAGCCTAATTTTTCGATTTGAGGCGAGACCCCCTCCATAAAGAGAAATAAAATACTAAATAAATTTACAATAGACTCCTTGGAAACGTAATTTGCTAGCATTTTCTGTTTCTAAATTATTGGTTTTGTGCTCTAGTCAAATTAATTATGGGTGCATTGATATGACCGTTAATGAACAAGTTATTTTTTACATGAACTTGTTGAACTTAACTCGCTCAGAAACTTATTAAAGATTTACAAGAAGAACATAACTGGCGATGCCATTAAAAGTTCAAGCCATCGATGAACATCGTAGAACTTAAACAGACACTGTAAGTTGTAATATGAATATAATGAATATATGAAGTGAATGAATAAGCAAGCCTGATGAGCCGAGTTAAAGACTGCAGCTGAGAAATCAAAATGTCGCATTTTAAAATTACTTTAATTCAGTTAATTCTGTTAATTATTTGGCTTCGTGTATTTTCTTCAGAGATTCGATTTATTGTTCACCATTTCAAAAGTGCATCCGAAAGGTACTCTTTGAAAGTGTGGGTTAAATTTGCGTTCACTATTAGTTTGCATTTATTTCTATACGCTGCAGACATTAGCAACTTATAAAATTTATATTTCAAAGATTTTAAGGGAAAAATGGAAGGCGTGCATCTGCAAAATTTCAAAACAAAGGTTAAATAACGTTGATTCAACGAAACAACACATAATTTACACTGATTCAACGAAAAAACGTCTAATTAACGTCGATTAAACCAAACAACATTTAAGTAAAGATGATTCAACGAAACAATGTCACATCCACATCGATTCAGCGAAACAACGTCTAATTAACGTTGACAAAACATCAAATGTCTGGTCTTATGGCTCTCTCATTCTAAAGCTAACAACTTTCATCTTTTTTTACCGAGCCAGGCTTAGCTTCGTTCCAGGGCTCGGATGCGAGAATTATTGTCACGGGTCCGCACTCGTCCCACTGTGCAGCTTTTTCTGTTTCCGATGCGTATTTCAGCACGTGTCCATGTGCTTATGAGCTGCCTTCTGCATGCATCATTCATCAGCAGCGTCGTCTAAAAGATGAGTGATAACGTCCATATTTGTTATGTATATAACGGTCTAAACAGATACAGTAAGTTTTCTACTTAAAATGATTGGTTATTATTGGTTTAGGCCTTTATGCAATCGGCATATCAATTAGTGATCTTGGACCATACAACTTCTAATTGCGCATTACGTATGCCATATATGAATTATGCATGCTAAATTATAAAAAGAATCTAGTAATACGAGGAGTGATACTTAAAATCCCCTCAAGCTTTGACAGCGTCGTGGGGCGCTTGTTCGTTCACATCTTTTAATTCTTTCAATTCCCGCAGTTATCGCAGTTCCCTCACTTCCTTCAGTTCCCTCAGTTCCTTTACTTCCCTCAGTTCCTTTACTTCCCTCACTTCCTTTAGTTCCCTCACTTCCTTCAGTTCCCTCAGTTCCTTTAGTTCCCTCAGTTCCTTTAGTTCCCTCAGTTCCTTTAGTTCCCTCAGTTCCTTCACTTTCCTCAGCCACTGAGACGGAGACCAGCGAAGTGGAGCTGCGTGTCTCCTCCAGCGGGCGCACTCAGGCCTGGATGAATGTCCCTACAACAGAATTTCTGGAACTCACTCTAACTTGCGACTTCTATAAAAAAAGCAGCGGGGAGAAGATCTCGAGTAAAGATATGGGGATCTTCTGGAAGAAGGTGAGCAAGCAGATTTAGGAAAATTCATAAGTGGTGTTTGTGTGGGAAGATTTTCTTCAGTAGTTTTTGGTAGGAATTCATCGGGTTTAAAACGCGAGATCCAGCTCAGCATTTGTTGTCTAGAGTTTTTTGGTTGAGCCTATCAGAAAGTTGTGTGTGATCAGGAAGTCATTGCTTTGAAGATTGCGCTAATGTGTTTTTCCCGGTCATGTTTTCTCCAGCCCAGAAAAAATCAGAAATATAGCGTACGAAATGGTGTTTTTCTCACTAAAATTCATCAATTCATCGTAATCAGGCTTAAAACGTGATTAAGTAAGGCTACCACACAAATATAAATCTAAATTTCTGCTATCTTAAAATGTGCATTGTGCAATCAACAAAAATATTATACACCGTTTTATCTCTCTAGGATGGCGTGTACCTAGGGATTACATCGAGAACCATCCAGCCGTCGGCTTTGAAAGTCACCACCCAGCACCGACTTCTGCCCGCAAACCTAACACATAAGGACATGATGCCACTCCGACAAGGAACGTACTCGTGTGAGACGTGGAGTCATCGTGACTTATATGCATTTTTATTGACATGAAATTATAGTATTTATGCTCGAGCGATCTTTACACGAGCTTATATGAAACAGCCTAAATTAACTTCGTTGTGCTATCAGCATTGCCGTAAATTATGAACGCGTATGGTCAATAAAGGTTATTAGGAAGAAAACAACCAATTTGATAATAGAGTAAAATTTCGAATAATAATTAGTAGTATGTCGCTCGCTGATTAAAAAATGTCGAGAAGGGGAAGCGGAGGAGGGTAAGTGTGCAGCCAGACGTAGGATGTGCCAGACGTTAGAAGGCAGAGCCTAGCCGAGAAATTTTAACCGCGTGAGGCCGTTTGGGCTCGATGCTGCGTTCAGCGACCGCTCCACCCGACTCTTAAGGCCATTGTGTTACGGATGCTTATAATTCTCATGCGCGCAAAATTGTTCATCATCAGAGCTTTGCCTTCAATAGACTGTCCGGTATTTAGATTTCTGTTATTTTTGTTTATTTTAGATTTTCTCCATTAATTGTACTTATAATCTTCAGAATATTTAGCTGGTCTCCTGAGAGTTTCCGATGTAGATATTATATGGCGAATTTATTTGGCGATTTCTTTCCCGTTAAATTCTTCATCATCTCAAGTTGATATACGTTCAGATTTAGCTAAACACTTTTGTCGAATAAATTTGAAAATGTTGTACTATATTCAGAAAGAAGATGCAATTCTCTTATGATGATTAATTCGTCAATAACTGGTCATGAATTATGTTCTCTCAAATGATAAAACACACAAAAAAAATAATTGACTCCGAGTTTACGCTAAACTTCAAAACCAAATACTGACGTGACACATACCATGATCATAACATTTTACTATATTTGAAAA